TAGAGTAGTTTAGTTTAATTCATTTAGTGTTCATTTTTCCCCTTGTTTTGTGTAGTTGAATATTAATGCACATTTTTTGTGTTTTTTTCACTTTGTTTTTCTGTGAAGAAGTAGGACATTAAAGCTGGGGTGACTGCCACCCTGAAGGACCTGGCAATGGTGGATCTGACAGACAACCCCACGGCATGTTTGCTGCACTTAAACAATATGTCTCTTGGGAAATATAAAAAATCCTTGTCTCGGCACCTCTTGAATGCTGCCCGCCAGTGCATTCCACTACTATGGAAACAAACTAGTTGCCCTACCCTTAGCTCTTGGTTCACTAAGGTTGACGAGACATACCTATTGGAGGATCTCACCTCCACGCTCCGGAATACCGAGGAGCTTTTCCGGTCCACCTGGAGACTCTGGGCCCTCTTCCAAGGTACGGATGCCTACCATCGGGTCATGCACGCAACGCCCCCCTGAGCGGTTTCATTAGACATACGCCCTAGGCGTCTGACCCACACCCACCCTTCATACCCCCTGTACCCCCTGGCTCTTCCATGCTGCTAGTCCTTTTCATCTCTCCCTCACCCCACCCCACATGCCCGCCTTGCCGCTCCGTGCCTGTCTTCTCTTTCCCTATCCTTGCCCTTTTCCTAGACACCGAGCACTTACCTAGCTCTATACATCTGTTTTTATGTATTAAGAAACTATGCCAAATGTAAGTGCCAATATCTCTTCCGATAGTTATGCTGTACAAAGCAACTTGAGGCGAACGCTACGTTTCCTACCTGCCTCTATGGTGCACCGTTTTTGCTCCTTGATAATTTTTCTTTCAATGCTCGAATCACATCAATGTTGGCTTTTGTGACGAGCCACTGTTCCTTTCTTTTTTTCGTTGAGATGATCAACCCCCCTCCTATCCATATTGTATGCATTATGTTATATGTATGCACCCTACACCCCTGACTGTTTATGGGGATGCTGTCATGATGTTGAGGCGGAGCCTCCCTGTACCATTGTACCATTGTACCATGCATATGTTCAATAAAGTTGACTTCTGATTCAAAAAAAAAAAAGCTAATACAGGGACCATAGTTATTTATTTATGTATTTTTTTTGCATGTCCAGTATAGTTAAAAGTTGCTTCTGCAACCATCAGGAGCCAATTATAGGCCATTTCACCCAAACCACCATGACTTTGCCATTCCTACTTACTCCAAAGCATTTCTGCAAAATCTTCTGATTAAAGAGAAGATTTTGCAGAGTTTCACTTATCCGGAAACTCTCTATTCCCCTTATCCTTACCGGTAGATTGATGCTAGTGCTTCCAAAACATCAAAGGCAGGAAACAACACTGTAAAATAGGACATTGGAAGGATAAAACTTATTTACCACTAATGCTTTCGACAAATGGGTAACAGGAGAAAAGATCTTAAAGTGTGCAGTATAATTATTGATAACTCTGAATGCTGTTATCACTGTTCATCTAGGCTGTTCATCTAGGCTGAGAGTGCTGTAGCCGGGACGGATCCAGACAATACTGTACAGCTGGCTGATTGACAGCGGGCTCTGCCTATCTAGAGGCAGAGCCAGCTGTGCCTGCCCCTCCCCCATCCGTTCCTCCGGTCAGCGCTGGAGGATCAGAGAGGGGGAATCCCTACGGGGAGCAGTAACGGACAGTCACCGCTCTCTGCAGGCAGATGATCGGGGAGGGAGCAAGCGACGGTATGTGTTCGCTTACTTCCCGATCTAGAGAGCCGACGTGTGACAGTTCCAATGTCACAGGTCGGCTCTAACTATGAGGATGAGTGGAAATCACTCACCTCATAGTTCTCCTCTAACCTAATAACATTCTCCAAAAAAAGCAAGTTCATTGCACTGATTCCTAGAGAGGAGAATCACAGCTTGTCTCATTATGCCTAGCTATGGAGAACATTTTTTAGCAGCCAGTGAACAAAAACATATCAGACAAGCAAGGCAAAGAGCAAAAAGGCACTGAGAAACAGATGCTGATAACCCTTCAGACCTCATGCTCTCATTACAACTGTACAACATTTTATTCCTTCCAATGTACTGTGTTTGTTATTACTGCTCAGTGTGAAATCATGTGTTATTTTTTTTATCCACAACAACCCGGTTTAATCCACCGCTACCTCTACAAAGTACATAAGACAAATGAGTTCAAGGAGACAAGTAGCTGTGACTCAGCACTTCCATGGACAGCTTCAAATAGCATTTCCCAATGTCCGGAACTGTTTAATAATATCATCATCACATGGGTACAGGAAGAAGGTAATGAGTTGCTTAGGTTTGTTGGTTTTTTGGAACAATAGACTACTAATCAGCACCTGTCGGGTCATATGATACAGCAGCGGTAATTGTCCGGTCATAGGGGAACCTTTGCTATTCCAATCTACTGTAAAAGAAGAGTCTGAACAAGAAGACCCTTTCATATAATTTGCTGCATATCTTAATGCAAGCCAAGTGTGTATTTGTATATGCTGAACAAGGAAAAAGATAAAGCACTTGAATATTTTAAAAAGGATTTCAGACTCCAGATATCAACAAGAGAGGTAGCATACACAGAGCTGGGCCAATGGAAAGGCAGGAGAGGCACAGGGCTGGATTCAGGGCCACTCGGGGTCCCTTCCTCAGGCGTGTTCAATTATAGTGTCTATAGCAGTAGAAAATACAAATAATTCTTCATAATAACATTTGCACTATAGTCACAGGAATATCAAGCTGCTTGGAGATGGTCTTATACCCTTTACCTTTGACGTGCTGGTCTATCATGTTCTTTTTGATCTCCACAGACAACTCTCTTCTTTCCTTTCTCTGGTCCATGTTCAGCGTGGTGCACATGGTGATGCCAAGCAGCAGAGCCACTACTTTTGTGCATTCAAATAGGCAGAGAGACTGATTACCGGACTGAAAAGGTGTGATGCTAATTACAGAAAACAGTTAGTCTGAAATATCACTGTGATCCAATTATTTATAATGCTTTCTAGGGGGTACCAACAAATCTGTCCAGACCATTTTATAATATCTTTGTGGAATAAGCAATCATCTATTTCTTTTTACACTTTCTCTGCTTTACTCTATGACGTACTAAAGGCATGCGGGTATCCATGAGACGATTGCTTTCGATTCCATCACTTTTCAGGATGATGAAGCATTGTTTCAATGAGCTGGAAGGGTGCTAGAAAATGTGTCAATGGCTGTATGTTGTTGTAGAAAGCAAATGACAAGAAGAATGTATTTATTATACATTATCATGCAGTTACCAGAATACAATCCCTGGAATGAGACACTCTTTAGAATCCTGTTGCGCATTGAGGATACATGTCTCTGCCTGTAACAGATCTGCGTACCTGTTAGCAGTACATGAATTAGTTGCATTTAGGCCGGCACTAAGGCTTGTCCATACCAGACACTCCATTCTCAGTACTGCTCAATAACTCTGAGCCTGATAAAATCACAGGCTCAGCATTACTGAGCTTTTTCCCAGCTACTGCACCTATCACCATGACAGACGCAGCGGCCAAGGCGTTTTGCTGTTGGGTGGGCGGAGCCTGATGAGGATTCTGAGGGACTAGTTCCTTGGCATTGGACAGCAGTCGGTGGACTCCATGGCTGCTAGAGGTTATTAAATCCACCCCTGCCAAAACATAAAGTCAGACCTGATGGGGAACTTGTCTCTCTGCGTTATTGGTTGCTATGATTCTGGTGGTCTTTATATTAGCAACCAATGGAGCTATGCAGCCTCACGCATACGCGCCCAAGGTCCTTCTCCTTAATACACAGTAGGGGTCCTTCTCCTTAATACACAGTAGGGGTCCTTCTCCTTAATACACAGTAGGGGTCCTTCTCCTTAATACACAGTAGGGGGAATTAATCAAAACTGGTTAGTCCATAGTCCCATCGCACTCCTGACCGTGTAAATCCCTTTAAGAATTGGGTGCTGCGGTAGTCAACGGGTGGCAGCCGTAACAATCGTGAGCGGAAGCAGAGACACCGGCACTCCAAATTTGCAAAATACGTCTATTTATTGACGTGCATCGTGGTAGAAAACAACGAACGTTTCGGGGTCACAAAGGATCCCCTTCATCAGGTAAAACATACAGTGTATGTTGAAGGCATCACCTCTCTTAGGGCTTGATCACACAATGGCGTGCGATTAACACATGCTACCGTCCGTTACAGTGTGGCAGGTGTGTTGCATTGCCATTAATTTGAATGACATCGCAAACGCACCAATGCGCTGTACTAGGGATGTCCCGATACCACTTTTTCAAGAACAAGTACTTCCCTTATGTACTTGCCGATACCAATTACCGATACTTTTTCTTAAAGCAACAGGTGACATTTAAAAAACCCAATGCAGACTAATGATTTTAGGCCAATTTCTTTATGATTATGAAGAACTTTAATTTAAGACTGTTTTAGAACAATAAAACATTTAACCTATTCATGTTTTCCACCGCGATCGTGTGGGACAGCCCAGGCGGTATTGCGGCGGGAAACCGTGCGATCTGATTGGCGCGAATGGAGTGCCATTACAAAATAATTTCACTGCCAACGCGATCATCAGTGGTGTGCAATTCCGTGACCGCCCAGCCATCTGCTCAGTTTGGTGCACGATGACCAGGCGGTCATGGATTGCACACCACCGCCGATCGCGCTGCCAGTGCCATTATTTTCTAATGGCACCTCAGTGGTGCCAGGCAGATTGCGTGGTTTCACAATCGCGGTTGAAAACACTGCGCGTTTATCCACATGCATTAGATGGGGGCAGCGTGGCTGGTTTTAATTTTTTCAATTTTTATTTACTTTGGAAAAAAAATTAATTTCCATTTATTTTAACTTTATCGCCTTTTTAATTTTTTAAGATTTTTATTTAGCTACATTTTTAATTAGTTATTATTTTTAAAACTTTTTTCACTTAACTTTATTGCTATCACACAGGGGATAACAAACCCGTACAGGTACTCTTTATTGACCCTGTCACCTCCAACACAGGAGTTCTAGCACAGCACTCCCGCCATCACCGCTCCACGCCCCCTGCTCTCGCTTGCCCGGCGCCCGGAACTATATGTCTCGGGCGTCGGGCAATACGGATTCAACACCGATGCGCAAGCATCGGGGCACTTTCACAAGTACAAGTGCTTGTGAAAATGCCTTGCATCGGTCCCGATTCCGATGCTAGCATCGGTATCGGGACATCCCTACGCTGTACCGCAATAGTTTGCATTGCAGTTGAAAAAAGTAGTGTGTGATGACCTTGCGGTGCCATTACTTGTTAATAGCACCCCAAATGCAGGTGGTAAAGCACACGTTCATGCCTGTGCATTAGCCCGTATTCCACAACCCTGGAGAATGCAGCTACAAATGCTGCATGAGCTTCTTTGCCATGTTTGTTGCGTTAATTCAGCAGTCCGTTGAATGAGCTGACGCGCAGCAAAATGCATGGTAACTGTTGCGAAAGTGTAAATGGGGCCTTAGGCCCCGTTAACACCAGGGCGGTTCAATCGCGCAGATTTGTCTGCACTGAACCGTGACATGAACAATCCCATACATTCTGATGGGGACCATTCCTGCAATCGCGCGATCTGAACTGCCTGCCGGCCAAAATGCTCCCTGAGCTACTATTTTCGCCCTGATGAGCTCGTTTTCCATATTGATTTAAATGAAAACGTGCACTTTTATTGCGTTTCAGCGCTGAAACGTGATTTAAAACCCCCTTCCAAATATCACACAGAAGCCACGCTGAAACGCTTCCGCCCTGGTGTGAATGGGGCCTTAAGGTGCCCATACACCTTACAATTTATCTGCAAATTTTCTGTTGTCAGATGGAAAAAGTACAACAGATTGGCCCAGGTGGAGATTACTCCATCCACACAGTTAAGTGTAGATGGATGAATCTGTTGCACCTTTTCCATCTGACCATAGAAAATCTGCTGATAAATTGTAAGGTGTATGGCCAGCTTGAGGCTGGGGTGCCTCAGAATTTTGCGGATCTTAAAGTCCTTAAAGTGACTCGAAAAAGGTTGAGAAATTTGCAGCCGTATAGGTTCTCCCAATGCGGCACTAGTAAGTGTTAAATGAACGCTGCGCACTAATCCCATACAGTGACTAATAATGCACATTAGCTGGCATCTGTCACCGAATGGTGAGGGAACAAGCAGATAATCTCCGCTAAACCGTGAGCAGAATCGCCCACATCCAACATGGCCGCGCCAGCATACCTCACGCCACCGAGAGCACCATAACCTGAGCTGAACTCAGCCGCACGCTATTATGTCACTGAGGCGGACGACGCAGGTCAGCTGACAGCAGGGAGTTCACCGAATGGCCGAAAAACCTGATCACGTGACTTGTACTCGGCCGCGGTCCTGTGGCGGTGTGGTGGTTTCCAAGGAGACGTTTGGAGAGAATGTGGCGGAGGAGAGGGTCGGTTTCATAATGGGAGAATGACAGGCTGAAGGCATGGTTGTGTTCAGCATAGGGGACAGTGACTAGAGGCTGGAGCGCACGAGTATTTCACATGGGCAAGTACTGAGGGATGCCAGACAACGTGACCTGGGGCAGAGACAGTGCGTGCCAGCGTCAGAGGACAGGATGGAGGCATGATAGGAGAACATCATGGACACAGACAGGCATGCAGGGAGGACATCTGGCCTGGGAAAAGAACAACCAATATCATTCAGACGTGAAGACACAGAGGCCACCTTATCCCTTTTTATCCTGGAGACATGTGTCATCCATCTCTTATGTCCTTGTTTTGAACCATATCTAAAGCTAGAACGTTTTTTAAATTTATTTTAGATAGTGTATGAAATGGATAAAGCCAATGTCCTTTTTGTCCTGCCATTGGGAAGACTTCCCTTCACTCCCAATTTCTTTTTGTTGTCACGTGAACAAGTGTCCCCATCGGAAGATTTGTCCTCTGCATTGGTTTCAGTGACCACTCAAAACTTTAGATGTTCCGTCTCTTTTTGTCCTGAAGGCTCAACAGAAGCTGAGAGCAAGTTGCTCCCAGGCGAGGGAAAGCTGTGAGTGTCCCCGCCAGGGAGATTTACCCCTCTGTTCGCCCTGATGACCATTTTCACCTAGGCAATATTTGAATGGGACCATTGAGATGAGGACAAGAGGAGATCATGTCCTCATCTTAATGGTCCCATTCATATTTCAAATATTGCCTAGGTGACAATGGTCATCAGGGCGAACAGGGGTAAATCTTCCCGGTGGGGACACTCTCAGCTATAAAACCTGACAGGGGTTCTTCGAACCCTACTCTATCCAGAACTGAAGAAGAAAAGTTTTGGCTCTAGCTACAGTTTAATAGTGCTTGGATATATCAATACGAATTGCGCTGATGAAGTGAATCTGTTTGGCCTATTTGGGTAAACAAAGATGTAGGACACAGGAAGCAGTGAAACCATTTTAAAAGTTCTAGTCTCAGAGCTTGGTGTAAAGCAGCATGGGGAGCTTGTCACTAATTTTCAGTACAGCTATGACCATGGACAAATCCCAGGAGCCAATGTGCCTAAAGAATGACAGCTGTCATCCAACTTTTCCCTAGTTGTTATCAATGGAGCTGCCTCCTAAAAGAAATCCTGCTGGCTCCTGGATTGGACAGACTGGCTCCTGAATTCCATAGTAATTAGCCACCCCTGGTTGTGATATTCTAGGACTCATTTATGGAAAGACCTGAAAACCTTTTCATCCCCCCTACTTATTAAAATTAGCATGATTGGTTGTTTGCATAGAACACAGGTGGGCTGAAACAAACCGAGGCCTGTTGTGATATCTATTTACACATCTTTTTAAGGGCTTCTGGAATATTTCGGAATCAGAGGGAACTTTAAGGGTCACACCTGATGACCTTCTCCCGTAGAATTCCGGACCTTGTTCTAAAGCGGCTATACCTTTAAAATGTGATTTGTTACACCTCATGAATAGGTCAGTGTTGGGCAAATGTGTTCCTAAAGGAACTGGCAAAAGCTGTTTTGTACCCATCATTGATCGTATCTCCCAAAGGTCCTGCTCTCTCATAATTTGAATTAACTCCTTCAGTTGGCATGGACACGTTCAGTTAATAATAGCAGCCATCATTCTGAAATTGAATGCTGCAACTTGACTGATAGAAAGGCATGGTTTGTGGGCTGAGAGCTTTTAAGCGGACATTCCGTAGATCCAGATGTATTCAGAATTTCATTATTGTAATGGGCAATGTCTGCTAATTCTTCATTGTGTACGATGTATTCTGCCTTGTACACGTAGAAGGGCACAGCACAGATGGCAAAATCCAGTATTATTCTAGTACTCTTCCCAAGCATGTCATATTTCAAAGAAAAAAAAAAAATGGCATCATATTTTTAAGTGAAACTTCACTTGTGCTGAGTTGAATATATTGTGAGAATTTTAGTAACTTTGTTCTGCTTTTACTTCATGACAGGGTCCTGCACTTACATCCTGAAACCGACCGCTTCATGGGAAGGTTAGACTACTATAATCAGACAGTCAGTCCAAGTGTCAACAAACTAGAAAACCTGCCTCCCTCCAGATGTACGGAACCCTAGGTAAGTACCCCAGTGCAAAATACTGCAGCAATAGCCCGCGATATACTGAGCTTTGGGTCACAGGAGGAGGTTAGTATATGTCCTTCTGTGACCCTGAAGAGAACTATGGGGAAAAACACTTACCACATAGTTCTCTTTTAAACCTTACTGAAATGTTGAAGCGACCTTTCATACATTTGTATTGACTGCAGCTCAGCTGCATTGTGATGACCAGCACTGACCCGAGGTGTATAAAAATGCAGCATATCTTCATTTTTTCGCATAGCAGCTCATGTCAAGGCAGCAATATGGTATGAACATGCCTCATAAAAAAACAATGGTTTTCTGTTTGCTCTTGGGGTGACTGGCTTTGTTCAGGTGCAGAAAACTGCAAGTCATTGCTCCTGTTGTTAACCAGCCTTTAGATAATATTTTAAATCTGCTGCATGCAAAATAAATTGTTTCCCCAGTCTTCTCTCCCCCAGTATTCACTCAGATTGCAACACTGTAACTTTTTAGCAAGCCACTAAGTTAGATGCAGCCAAGGGAGGCTGATCTGTGTCAGATATTTGTAAACGCAGCCAAGAACTGCAGGCACCAAATGTGTCGTCCTTGAGCCGGCATCTCAGTCCAGGCAGTACATGTCGACCCTGGGTAGAGCCTGAACAAAAATGGTGTCATCTTTCTAGAAAGAAAGGCAAATAAAGGCATTGTCGGTGGAGTACTGTGGTTACTGTTAGAGGTAATAACTACCTAGGGATGCACTGGTACCGATATTAGTATTGATATCGGGGCCGATACAGGGCATTTTCACAAGTACATGTACTCAAGAAAATGCTCCGATATCAAGTGCCGATACCTGCACTTCAAATTTTGAAATAGATTTGGATGCCTGAGGTCTCGCATTTCCTGGGGACCTCAAGTAGCCTGCTGGGGGACCTTGCAGTGGCTGTCTTTGACAGTGTCGGTCTGGCCCCACATCTCCTTCCTGCTGTCCACAGAGACCGGCACAGCCCTGGTGAAACTGCACGCAGCCCTGGTCAGACACCGCACTGTCTCCTGAGACCTCGTTACAGCCCTGCTCAGACCCTGCAAAGCAGTGGTCAGACCGCGCACAGCCTTCTGAGACATCGCACAGCCCTGGTGAGCAGCACAGAGTATGTAGCTTCATATTATTCTGCATTGCTGTATAATGTATTGCTGGGATTTGTAGTCCTCTATAGCTGGTGGTATTCTGCATTGCTGTATAATCTATTGCTGGGATTGGTAGTCCTCTATAGCTGGTGGTATTCTGCATTGCTGTATAATCTATTGCTGGGATTTGTAGTTCCTTTACAGCTTGGAGTCAGTGGCAGAACTACCAGGGTCGCAGCGGTTGCAGCTGTGTCCGGGATCTGGTGCTCCACCACTGTCTTAAAATCATTAGTCTGTATTGTTTTAGAAAAACTGTCACATGATGCTAAAAGAAGGCATTCCTATACCTACCTATAAATTATACACATTACTTGGCATGTATGTCCTTGACATAAAAAAATGATAGCTGATGCTGGGTCCACATAACACATGTGCAAGCCACTGAGTAAGGCAGCCAACTGCTAATGTCATACTTTATTCTTTGTGGTTATTTCATTGAGCTGTCCCAAAAAGTCCCTTTTGTTGTTCCTATGGTGGGATGTGTACAGTCTTTGAACAGGCTGGGCCTCCTTTTTAGATTTTTAAAGGGAGGAAAGTATGCTTCATAGAACGTGTACTTTAGATTGTGAGTAGATTATGACATTTTTGAATGATTTGTTGTCCATGTTATTAGATTGCGTATACTCGTTCCTGTTTAAACCTATTGGACATACTTTTCTATGTCTAGTGCTGTAATGTAGGTATACTAACGCGATTTTCTTTCTACTTTTCAGATGGCTTCCAAAGAGGCATTTTCTCTAGTGTCAGGAACAGCTAGCATTTGAATTATGAATGTGATGACCATTTGTATATCATCATGGCAAATCCACAGTATGTACTGGTGTATTTCTTCAAAACTTGATTTTAATTCCTGCTTGTTCTACAAGGGATCACTTTAAAAAGAACTGCACACATGAGGGAGCCCTTCACCAATCATTAGAGCGTATTTAAACCTATAAACTAAAATGTAATAAAACAATAAATATATGTATAAATGTCCCTTTAAGTGGCACTCTTCCCCTCAGAAATGGAGATCACTGTGGAGTAACTAGATACTGTTCTTTTTTCCTTTGTAGGTCAAGCTGGCTGAAGCCATGCTGTGGGAGAAGGGCTACGGTGTGGCATGTGTTTCTGCTAAGTGCCGGAGTGAACAGCTTCTTGGTGGCCTGTGTCATTCTTGTGGTGGTCCTAATGACACTGGAACTGCTGATAGATACCAAGCTGCTTCAGTGTGAGTTCTGAAAATGCACATATGGATGTATTCCCTGTAATACTGCATACTTTCAACAGTAATAGTTTAGCAATGCATCTGATTTTAAAGAGCATGTAATATGTTTTGTGTAGGGATGTCCCAATACCAATTTTTAAGACCAAGTACTGTCCCTCATGTACTTGCCGATACCAATTACCGATACTTTTTCTTAAAGGGCCACGTGACCTTTTTTTTCTAAAACAACACAGACTGATGTTTTTAGGGCAGTTTCTCACCAGGGCTAAATACAGATGTCCCCACAGCAGAACACATGTTCCTAAGGCAGGATAGTATTCTGCTTTGGGGACATGTATGCTGAGAATACATGTCCCCAAAGCAGGATACATGTCCCTAAGACCGAATTGTATTCTTCTTTGGGGACATGTATTCTGAGAATACATGTCCACAAAGCAGGATATATGTCCCTAAGACAGAATAGTATTCTGCTTTGGGGACATGTATTCTGCTTAGGGAACATGTGTTCTGCCAATCTCACCCGGGCGACGTGGACATCTGCAGTGGCTCTGTAGGCACTCCACCTCGCCGGCGATGTCGGGAACCGGCCTCCCCCACGTCCAGACCGGCCGACTATCTGCGCTGCTGTTTCCCCCGACCTTCCTCCATCTACAGCCCAGTCCTCCCCGTCAGTGTGTGGCAGGAACCCCCAGCTTCTAGCCCTGGGGCGGTAGCTCCGCCCCTGGGGCTGCCCATGGCTGTGTCTGCGCCGGGAAGGAGGAAGAGGAGATAAAGAACCGGACAGGCACTGCCATGAACAGCTATCTACAGGCTGCCGAGGTCCCCACAAGCACGGAACTCGGACGGCCGCTGCTGTTTGAACATTTAAAGGGCCGGTATCGGTCTTAAGAATCGTGGCAAGTACTCATGAAAATGCCTGGTATTGGCCCCGATACTGATACTAGTATCGGTATCAGGACATCCCTAGTTTTGTGTGTATATTTATTTATTTTTTTTATTATGATCAGGACTAAAACTACTAATGTAAATGTTTTTAGCTAAGTAGATATGAAATAGTGCATATAAATAATCTGTATGTTTATTGCCAGATGACAGTTGTTGCTTTAGGCTCCATTTCACATGTTTGCCTGTATTTGTAGATGCTCTTTTGATAAAAGGCCTGTTTAGGCTAGATGCACACGACCATATTACATTTACTGATCATATACCCGTGTTTTTGTTTTTTTGTTTTGTGTTTTTTTCAGGCCAAAAAAATCCTGGGTAATGATCAGTAAAAATTCTTACCCGTGTAAACATGCTCTTTATTAATTCCTACATAATAGTGGCTGATCTACATCAACCGTTAATTGTAGAGTGGAGATTGTTTTAAAGCAATGGTAATAGATTTATAAAACAGTTACTTGAAAAACAAATATAATGTAGTCTTTATTTATTTATTGTAGTCTCAAATGCAACACAGTGTTCAGGGATCATCCACTGGATAAGCCTGTCCATCTTGTCGATGTTCTTTGTGGAGGTGGGAGAATTCAATGATTATTATTTCAAAAAGCGTTTTTTTATTTTCTGTATATTATTTCTTGAAAGCACAATCTTCACAACGCTTACTTTTTTGCTTTTCTGTTGCTTTTTTTTTATGGTAGTTGTTATATATCTCAGGTTTAGCTCCCAAGTACTAAAAGCCATAACAGAATGTAAGTGTTAATAGCAATGTCAAGATTATAATCTAATTCTTGGTGTGGAATTGTACTCACATAGCAGATCCAGCAAAACAGCTGTATGTAGCTCTAAACGGTATAATTATACAATGACATTCCAGTTAGAACTGCCATAAACTTGTGATGGAGGTTGTCTGTACAGGTATGAGCCAACTGCCCCTGAGCAAGCTGTCGGTGGAGCACTCTGTAAACTTGTACGCAGGGCCGTCCCTTTAATGAGGCAGCCCCGAGGCTGTTGCCTCAGTCAGCATCTCTTTGGGTCACGTGGGGGGGGGGGGACGCCAAGTCG